AGAAAGTTGTAGAGAGGACCGGATGTAGTGTGGTTTTTTCTGCTGCAGACAAGCTTGGCCGGATTTGTGCGGCTGTAGGTAAGAAGTTATCAGGACTGAGCAAGCGGAACCACGGGTGAAATATCAAGCACCGTGATAAATTGGTTGAGTGTGGCAAAAAGGTAGTTTATTATACAGCATTATCTTGTGGAAAATGCTACCTCGGACAGACGGGACAATGTGTAATCAAGAGATTGTTATACCATAATGCTTCTTTTAGAGGGACACCTTGTTCAAATCTTTCGTTACATTGAAGGGAGTGCGGCTGCACACCCTTGCTATAAGAAACTACGGTGGTCGCAAGAATGAAAGGAAAAGATCCACGAGAAATTGAGAAAGCATTTTTATTGACAGATTTGGTGAGACAAGCGTAGCGGGGCCCTCTATCACAGTGGTGCCGTCGTTACATGCCACCGAGATAGATTATTTGAGTGCTTGCCACTAATAGGATTTATTTTCTGCTGATATGACTTGTAACTTTGTTGACGTCTATATATATCTGTGTGCTTTTTTGAATAAATTCAGTTAATAATTGCTGCTTTTTCATCTCTCGTGTTTATTTCGCGCCAAAAGGTACGTCAGGAATGAACCAATGATTGATATGTCGAGTTTCACGTCCCAAAACCTCCATATGATTACGAGAGATGCCCTAATTGAGAGCTCCGGAAATTTTAACAACCGGCGGTTTATTAACGTGCACCCAAATCTGAGCACACGGGCCTACAACATTCCCGCCTCCATGCAGCCACTGCAGTAGGAACGAACCAACTCGCCTAACAAGTAACTCTGCTGTAATAGTGATATGAAGTCATGTATGGAATAATTTACATGCCTACCACTGCTGGTGCTGGTATCTCAATATTCAGTGGTGCTGTCGTTACCCAACTATAAACAACATAATTGCATGTTCAGCGTGCATAACGTTTATACTAATGTTTACTGGGTATACGTCTGTCTGCCTTGTAACGTTGTGCTGATAATAAAGTGACATATCAAGCTCTTCCCCCCCTTCGTGATTCGCATATCATCGATTCCCACTATACATGTGATCTGCCAAATTTTTTCATGTGCTTAAGTCATTTTGTTTGTATTAATTGTAAGTATATTTAATTGAAGTCGAAATAAAAGGAATTTTGTTGTGCATTTCATGATGAGCGATAACTGTGCAACGTCACATGGCGCCAACCTGCTCGAGCTAGACCAGCGAAGCAAAATGGTTAGAGCGATGAAATGTGCAGTTGCGATCTACGCCTCTCCGTTAACTTCTCCTGTACTTAGTCACCTGTACCTTCCAAACGGCGTTGTTTGTCTACAAATCTTTCAACGGCGATATTGCGAAAATCATACGTGAGTATTCTTCTCGATATTCTTGTTTTGATTGCTCTGATGGTACCTGTAACATTCGAGTACAGTGAACTTCGCATGGCTAAAGCCTGAACATTGCGACGACGCAAGCCTGATAAAAGGATGTTAAATGCATGTGTTTCGCTAAATAAAGAACTGCACGTTCCAGACAGTGCAAGTAATTGGGAAAGCGTAATATATTTGCAAACCATCTCTAGGTTAAGCATTCAATCCCGTTCGATAGTGGCCTACTACGATAGTCGCCTATTCGATAGTGGCCTATTCCTATTTGATAGTGGCCTACTACGGTGGCTAAATCTCCAGGCATGCTCGGCGCATACTACTTCAAAGCTCCGTTGAGTTCATTTGTCAATTCTAGTTAGTGCAGTTTTTTTTCTCGCACGCACAAGATTACGAAATACACGGCTGACATAGTGTCGATCAGCTGACACCACCAGCCTTCCCCCTCTGGCGAAAATTCAGGTAGCGAATATTTAGCCGCTCCTATCATTTGGGAAAGTACTTTGGTTCGATATACATTCATTTGGCGATCAAGAGTTGATCAGTAGAAGTGGCACTGGGCGTACGTCTATGCGTCCAATCTTTTCCTATGGGAGTTCACGGGTTCACCCTCTTTGAGCAATCATCAGGGCTGAATCAAGCGCCACCTATAGCCCGCGGGCATCTTGAATAGTGCAACGTTCACGTGTTGCTTAGTTCTTTAAAAAATCTAAAACAATTCAATAAACATCAACCGTTCGTTCTTTTGTAGTCGTTAATTGATTAGACTTTCAGGTATTTTCCAGAGAACAATTTAGGATATGTTTAGCGGCTTTTGTGACTTTTTGGAAGAGGGCCGTGAAGGGGCCATATAACTGTTTTCATTTCGTCCGCGAGCATGCCAGAAAGTTAAAATCCTATGCAAAAAGAATCATTTTGTTTTACAAATTTCTAGTGCTAAAGTGAATGAAGCGTACTGCAAAGCAAACGCAAAGCACACGCGTATTGTTAGTCATTGCCAAATACCCGTCACTCGGACATCGAATCCACTCCGTCATTCAGTAGGGCCACGGTATAAAAAAATTGATTGTGCAGCTGATTGTTTTGGTGAGCCGATTTTTTTGTTCTATTCTCAATACTGCTACGAAAAAATGTGATCGCGACCGCAGGAGAGTATTTTTGTCGAAGAGGAATATTGGAAGGTGCGAAAAACAAGGAAAGCACTAAACTGTAGTGCTTGCCAATCTGATGTTATCTTTACATTTATTTTGTTTTTAGGCAACAAAAAAACGATAGCTGCAAATTGTGAACCATAGAAGCGTGTACCTCTTTCGCCTGTTTATAGGTAATTAACACCAATTCATTTTGAGAACGATCATGCGTGAGCAAGCGTCTTTACAACGAGCAGTACATAACATAGAAGCACGCCTTTATTCATTTACCCACTGCATTTTACGTGGATTTCTACCGAGTGGAACTTGGACTGAAACTTGCATTCTTGTTAGTCTGCACGCCACGCTGTTTCATTAGAGATTACCTAACGAATAACTTTGATAAGCATAATTAATTTAGCCAGCTTAAGAACTGTTTGATATAGGCTGCTTTGGCTTACTGCGTCGCAGCGAGAACTCGGAAGAAAATTATTACAAAACATTTACGAAGCCACGCGCTCTAGCAGAGGCGGGCCTGTTTTTCGTGCGAAGTGAGAAGTGCTGCAAGTTCGCGACGCCATGGTAGCCCAATCCCTGAGCCACATGGACGTTGACGCGCAGATCTCAGGATGAAATCGCAGTTATGGCGGCTGCATTTTAGATGTAAGCTAAAAAGCTATAGGCCGATCTGCTCAGATTGAGGTGCACGCTAAATAACTCCATGTGGTTAAAATTTCCGAAGCCCTTCACTACAGCTTTTATCATAAATATATGGTGCTTTTGCAACGTTCAGCCCCACATAACAATCAAGCGCGACGAGTTCTTCACCAAGTTTCGAGTGCTGTTCCCATATCAGCACTGTTTACAGTAGCCCGTGTGCTTGATGCCCTTTCTCCGGCTGGAACAATGGTCAAGCGCTAGCATGCCTACCACAGCCGCAAGGTTGCTACGCGCGTCTGCGATCACATCACTTGCAGCAGACCGTGGGACGTGTGCTAACGTTGCTCGTGCTTTTGCATGATGACAGCAGAAAAGAAGCTTGGTACCGTTGACGGCCGGGTCCTGGCAATCCAGGATAGGGCTCGTCCCTGCACCAATTCGTTTCTTCACCGGTGGGGTGCGTGGAATAGTTGTTGCGATGTATACAAGTTCACTGGTGGAGCGCTGAAAAGCTGAAGGGTGCCTGTTTGCATTGTATTCGAGCTTGAGAAGTGTATACTTTACACCGTTGAAACTGCGGCTTGCACGAAAAATACTGGCTTACATTAGTTCAATTTATGTGGTTGTTTGACGTGAGTGACTCCGTGAGCATGCAATAAGTAAAGTGCGACGTGTTAGGTTACTTGTTTTTGTGCAGATTGGAGCTAAACTTTAATGAGATGTAGCCGGCCAAGGGAGGAATAAGAACTTGGCAGCCTCACCTTAGGTAACATATTGCAGGGCTGCCTAAAACGGCTTCACTGGGAAAGCCGAAGATAGGGCGAGCAGTTGACAACATGCACATTCACAGTAATTAAGCGGCATTAGAAGTGCACAGCATTGACATAGTATGTCGCCTATGTATTGAAGTAGGGCAACCATACAAGTGGCGAGGAAGCTGTTGCTGAGGTCCTGCTTGTAACAGGCACATGTCTGTGTGGATGCTGGAAGTCAGCCAGCCGCTAGCTTCATGAGAGGCAGTTTTACAGCCTTTGCAATACAATTTTTTTACTCAGGGGAAAGACTTACTAAGATATTCCTCCACACTTCGGTATGATGTGGCATACAGAACTTCGCATACAAAAAGTAGTACATTTATTTGTGCTTAGGTGCTCGGCTGCTGACCCACAGGTCGCAGATGAAATCCCGGCGATGGCGGCTGCATTTTCAATGAAGGCAAAAATGCTGTAGGCCCGTGTGCTGAGATTTGGTTGCACGTTAAAGAACTCCAGGTGGTCGATATTTTCGGAGCCCTCCACTACGAAGTCTCTCATAATTATATTGTGGTTCTCGTACGTTAAACTATGCATACTGAGACATATTTAAGGAAAGAAAATACATAAAAATTACTCTTAATGTGTTGTTATGAGCAAATTAATATAAAAAATACCAGAAAATAGTTTTTCATGTCAAAAGTACAATTTGTTATATACAAGACTATGTTATCATGTAAATTGAGCTTTTGAATCGACAAGACCTGAAGAATTACAAATACTTCATCATAGTTCATTGTAACGTTGTACAGAATGAAGGAACCAATTGTAAACCTAAAGGCTTGTCATGCTGGTTAAAAAGAAGAATAATGAGAACTTACACACAACTAACGATCTGTAAGTTCTCATTATTGTTGTGCAGAATTTTTCACGATGTCATAGGGCGTGTACAAGCGGCACGCCAGCGTTATGCAGCACGGTCACTTATTCCTGTCGGATTACAGAGTAAGCGAGCATGACTAGCATGTGTGCAGTGCTTTTGAAGGTCACTCACCTCCTCGGAAGCAAGCCCCGTCTATGATGCAGGCATGAACGCCTTCGGGTTGCAAAGGCAGCATCTCGTCCTTGCTGAACACCGTGGTCTCCATGCGGCCTGTAAGAGGGAAATACGTCAAACTGCACGTCAAACAAGAAAACGGTACGGCGCTTGGCAGTCGAAGTACAAATGAGGATAGCACAGAAATAAGGGCCTAGCACAACAATTTCTTCTTCATACGCTATTATTATGTGGAGCTGTGCACCGCCATGCCACCGCCACCGCCCGTTTTCACTCACGCCTTTCACGCCGCCACAGAAGCCCCGAGATAGAGCACGCCACCGCCGCCACTGCGAAATAATTGCGGCCTGCCGACGTTTGTTATACTTTATTCCGAGCGAAAAAGCAGGCATGAAATACATCACTTCACCTTCTTACCTGCAGCATCATGATTTCTCAGAGTGGTATTGTCGGTCTCCACTGGTCCCTTGTGGCCATGTTTTCATGACCTGTCTATATAAGAGCCCTAAAACAGCTTCTGTCAATCATAACTCACACTGCAGAAAATTGCACGTATTTATGGACAGAAAAACGGATATAGTGTCCAGGAAATAAACACACTTCCCCCCTTCGCCAACATCAAGGATGCAGCACACGTTTAAGAATCACAGACTTCACCACTTCGCGAATATTGAGAATACGACCCACGTTTACCAATAATGTTTGACTGAATAGTGCAAAAAATAAGTGTCTCGTCCGCCAAAGAAAAATTAGACGAAAGTAATCACTTGCATTACGGATGACCTCCAGAAATTTATGCTTAATATGGCCGTCGCATACCATCATTGCATCCATCGCCGCAACGTGTTCTACACCGCTTTTATTCTACGAAACTGTATTTGTTCCCAAACGGTGGTTGAGGTGGGCTTCGCGGAAAGAGGAACCATCCGACCGCGGTAGGCGCACCGCCATCGTCACTCATCCGTCGGCTGTCACTACTCTAGTCACTAGCCCGCCTGTCCTCCTCAAAGGCCAAGGCGCACACACGGAACGGGACCCGGCTGGCGTTGCTTTTTAAAGGCAATATTCTTTCTTGGGGACCTTCGACGGAAAAATTTTAGTCTCTGTCTGTCTGTCTGTCTGTCTGTCTGTCTGTCTGTCTGTCTGTCTGTCTGTCTGTCTGTCTGTCTGACTGTACATTTTTCTGTTTGTCCACCCTAACGGTCCCTGAAACGGCACCAAACGGCCAACCCCATCCGCAGCGCCCACCAATAATTGCTCAAGGTTTAGCCTTCATAGTTGGGCGATTGTCAATTAAAAGCAATTATTGCGCATACGTGAGGCGCCACAAGTACGCTTCGATGTTTTCTATGTCTGCCTTTATACTAGGAGGGGCACACACAAGTAGCTCTAAGGAATGTTGCGTTTAATCGCGCTGCGCTGACAGTGCGACGCGATGCTCAAAAAGGTGTTTCCAACGCTTTGCTATGACGTCATGGTGGTGGCACCTGCCCGTCGCTTTGCGTTGTACACCTTATGACCTCCGAGACTGGCGCGCATCTTTCTCCGCCAGCTGCACGCCTTCGTTTTTGAAGATAACTGCCAGATGGCACTTGTGTATAACGTGCCTACATTTGCTCGTTCGCCTCCGCCACAAGCTCGAGGCACTCTAACGCAGCGCCTGCAGAATACCATTCATCAATTTTCTTGCGCAGAACGTCAAATAAACGTTTTGTTCACTCTCTCCACACGCAAGACTATCATCTTTCAACGACATTTACAGTGTAACATATAGATTCGGGCCAATGTTTCATCTGGTATGCATCTTGGAGGTGAGCGCCTAACTTCCGATTCACTCGCCGTTTGGGCTACAGCTCGTGCCAATGATGATCTGTGTCGTGTAGTATCTACGCAATATTTCTGATTAGGCTGCTTCGAGTAAAGTCGAGGCCATAAACGCAGGGCTCTTTTGTCGATGTCGGTTTCGCGCGGCTTGTATTATGCATGCTCTTTCTGAGACGGAGTTCGCAATAAGAGCAGAAAATACAGCATTTACGGAAATCGCCGGTTGTCTGTGGTAGTCTTGTTTACATTTTGACCGTGACATTTTTATTGCGCTCTAATTACTTGTCCACAGCCCTTGCATTACTCTATGCCAACAGTGTTGGCGCTTGTCAAAATCATATTGGAGCCATTTAATGTGTACGCATCCCTTTATGCTGCTGGCATTTTGTTTACGCTGCTGCTACGCCGCACGCCGAAAGACGACACGATATCTAGCGTGAAATCTTGGCGCGCTGCAGCCTACACGCGTGTTCTCTCCGTCCAGTCGAAGTTCATCTCCTCGGCGTTGCCTAAGAAAAGGTGGCTGAAGGCAGGTAGCACCGAGGTGCAAACAATCAGAGAGAATTTTAGCTCAAGAAATGTAAAGCGTCATGTGAATTCTTCCAGAAAGCTTGAAAGCATTACTCGTAAAACGCGTTCTAAAAAAACAATAAAAAAAGTTTGCTTTGTCTGCTGCGGTGGTATTGTAGTTACGGTGGTCAGCTGCTGACCATGCGTTCGATGCCGGCCGTAGTACATAGTCGCGTTTTGATCGAGGGGAAATAGAAGGCCCGTGTATTGTGCAATGTAAGTACACGATAAAGATGACCTAAAGAAGAAAATTTCCGGAGGCCTCCACCGCGGTGTCCTTCATAATGATACCGTGGTTTTGGGACGTCGAACACCAGGAATTTTATTTAAAGTTCTGTTAATACTCAATGTGGTTAGGAAGAAATTTTCTGTGTAGAACAATGGTAGGATTTTCAGTATATGAAGAATGTGGTCCATATTGGGTGGGGATTTTTTTATAGAGAGACAACATTTAGTGAAATATGATAAATCGTATTAGCTGATTATCAGAGTTTTCTTTCCATAGACAAAAATAGTTTGATATGTGTACAGTGCAAAAAATTTTTATAGCTGGTGAATAAGTTGAAATATATTGTTTTTTGTAAATTTTTGGTTGTAAGTTTAGCATTGAGGTGGTTCAAGTAAAAAATATGGTGAATAACACATTTAGTTCTAAGCTTCATTGGTTGCTGTCACAGAGAGTCATCAAATTGCTTTTTATTTTAAGAGATAAAAACTTTTTTGATTTAGTTGCTGAACTCAGATCTTGTCCGTGTTTATACCATGAAGCAATGCGTCCTAATGGTGAGTACTAGCTGCACAGACACGAGGAACATTTAGACAACATATCAATTTCGTCCATGCTTACTTGAATAGTTTGCTATCTAGTACTAGCCTGCATGAGCAAACGAGAGACCCGAACCCTACTAGGGTGCATTTAACCACATGCAGCTATCTTCTCACAGTTCGAATAGTGTGCTTATGCAACACTGGTAAGTGACACCGATGCATGCAAGAGCTTATTACATGTGCGATAAGATTTGGAAGTGAGAAGAACACCACCAAGAGGATATATTGAAATAAAAAAGGGATATGTTTTTGTCATGAACCAATACAGCTGTCACAAAGTGGCAATGCCTGCTATTAAAAAGACAATGCGATGCCGCCTGCTGTTGAGTACTTGGAGGAAAATTTAGACGCACGGATGAAAAAAAAGGAAATACGAAGACACTGCTAACTACGGCCGTTTATTAAAACCTCTGCATATTATTTTGCTGGTGTTATCTCCAGGTAAAGACTGCTGGTAAAAGATTGGAAGAGTAACAAAAAACATTTAAACAATAGCGGGGCAGTTATCATGAAGGTGGTTTATTCTTTTAAGATGAAGCTTCATTAAAAAATTGTGTTCTTTCTCTTCAGTTCTCTTTGAAGTTTGCAGGGTGAGAGCTACTTAGTATCTTTGATGCCACTTCCACCTTAAAAGGAACAGAGTTGACACCTTAATAATGTTAATGAAATAGAATCAAATCATTCTTTTTCACTTGGAAAAAGAGTTGATACCTTATTATTGAGACTGAAATAGAATCAATCGTTTGTTTGTTTTTAATTGGAAACAAACCTTACAATTTATTTCAGCAGAAGCTTTCACATTCACAAAAGGTATGCCTTTTTGCACACTCTCAAGTCTATGTGCTTTGGTCATTACTAGCTTATAAATCGTAAAATGGTTTACATGACGGGTTACAATAGTGACAACATTAGTGTACCAAATTGAAAAACCCTTATTCTTTTCAGAGAGAACAGAAATATCACAGGGCAAGTAATTGGCTGAGGGGTCAAGACGTTTTTGGAGCTCATATACAGTTACTTTTATATTTTGTTGCATATATTTCATTTCACACACTCGTTGTAAACACGCTGTTTTTTAGGTTCTGTTAGTGTTATACCTGGAATATTATTATTATTCACAGTGCAGAAGATGGCACAGAAATAACTTTAAAAGTGTGATTTTTAAAAATTCTCATGGACTAAATTCAAATACAATGCAGTGAATCTCATGATTAGTGGAGATCAATATTATGTGAAACAATCAATGGCAAGGTGTCTTGGCCGCATTTTTTACTCCTTAAATCAATTGTTACTAACTTCACACATATATATATATATATATATATATATATATATATATATATATATATATATATATATATATATATATATATATATATATATATATATATATATATATATATATATATATATATATATATATAAATAAGGGAAAGAAGTGTATACCTAAGGGCTCGTTTTTCCGTGTTTTGACACAATATTAATGAGATATAACAGACAGTAATGCCAAGGAATGTACAGGGGAAGTTATTAAAACCAATGGAATGTAAATAAGAAGAAAGAAAAGTGGATGAAAAAATTACCAACTGTGAGCAGGAGCCAACTGTGAGCAAAAAATTACCAACTGTGAGCACAGTTGGTAATTTTTTCATCCACTTTTCTTTCTTCTTATTTACATTCCATTGGTTTTAATAACTTCCCCTGTACATTCCTTGGCATTACTGTCTGCTATATCTCATATATATATATATATATATATATATATATATATATTATATATAGCTAGGATGAGGCACCAATTACCATATATATATATATATATATATATATATATATATATATTTATATATAGCTATATATATATATATAACAGC